TTTTTTTGGGGGGGGGGGGGGGGGAGGTCTTCGTGTGAGTGAAAGAGAGGAGAGAGATTTTGGACCATTACTTCCTTGGAGAGAGAGAGATAGAATAAAAAGATCCAAAAATGAAACATCTTTGCCACCTTTCCACTGAGTAAAGATCTCACTGTGCATCATTTCTGACAATTCTAATGCAAATAATCAACTAGGGCATGCATGAGCAGCGTAGTGTTGCTTCTATCAAACATATATCAGACAAGTATTCAGCCTCTACTATACACTGACATACATGCATAGAAACACCACATACGTTCAGGAAAAAAAATACCATTTCCACACAAGCAAGTCGGCTATGTTGACTACTCTGACTATTTTAATTTATGGGGGAAAAAGACATCATATTATAAGACTAATCAAAAGGATATTGAATGTCAGGGCGCTGCTCCTCCGCTGTAAAATAAAAACAGCAGTGTCCCATAACCCCAAACGGCAGCATTTTTGTATTCTTTTGCCGAGTAAAATATTTCTCTAAAAACAAAGCAGTCAATTCCCTTGTCCTTTCTCTGCCCCCTCTCTCTCTCTCTCGCCAAGCTGCTTTTCTGCACTCCCTTGTACAATCTCTTTGCACATTTAAAAGTTAAGACACATTATTACCCTCTCTTTCTCTTAAATTTTACTATAATTTTTTTTTCTAGAAAATTCCCTCTACAAAATTTTACTAGTGTAATTAAAAGGTGCTAAATTTTGACACAGTCACATTAACACAACATGAAGTTGGGTGGATTAGGATTTGACTATTTCTTGATGTGAACCTCAAAATGGCACAACCTGCTAACATAAACGGGTTAAGTTGGTGTCAAATATAAGTAACTCAAATTCAACATGAGAAACACTTTATGGATAAAATGTTTTTCTCATATTTCATTAGGTATAGACATGAATCATAATAAAACGAGGGAATTTTTTTACATTTTTTTTTTTTTGCTATTATATGGATTTAGTTGTTTTTTAGCTCATGAAAAACCCATTAATGATAAGTTTGATTGAGAAATAATTAGATCTTGGTCTTGGATTTTTAAGTCAATGGCATGCTGGTCAACCTGAAAATGACCAATAACAACTTGATTGGGTCAATGTCAAGACATGCACATGATTAATTAAATGGATTGAGTTAAGATTGATCAATTTTCGATACGAACACAACATGACATGACTTGACTATCATTCTTAATCTTGTAACCTACTAAAATTCTATCAAGACCCACAATTGGCAACTTTTGCAGCAAAGTAAAATCTGTGTGATATATGGGATTACGAGTCCTGAATTATGTGATGCAATATATAGAGATCTTGAGTCTTGATAGGTTTTTACTACTTTGTAAAGAGGGGATCTCATAGATGGGAACTAGTAGTAAAATTAAGAGAGGAGAGAGATAAATTCACAAATGCCATGATTAATTAAGAGAGATTACGAGTCCTGAATGACATTTTCGCACTTAGCTTTTGTGAAACTAAATTCACAAATGCACAAATAGAAAGTATAATGAAGCCATAAGTGACATTTTATCAAAACTATAGTCACTAGAGTGCTAAATATTTCCAAGTGGGAGACAAACTTGTACGCCAAACAGTTTTCTGAACTATTACATACTGAAGGGGAAAAAGTCATACCTGCTCTTTCATACTCTCCCAAGTCACAAAAACATTCAGCAGCAGACTCAGCCCTGCCAATAGAATCAAATATTTCAGCAGCCTCCCTAAGGACAGTGCAAGACATCTCAGGATTGGAAACACGCAGACGGTCAGCAGCTGCCTTAAGACCAGCAGCCTTGGCCCTTTTTTCCGATATTGTGTCTCCTGCTCTTTCAAAGCACATTGTTGCCATCTCATAATTAGTCTCCCAATAGAGCTGCATTAACACATAAAGGTTAAACTTGTAACATAAGAAGAGTAGGAAATGTCTCAGACACATAGAAATGACGTCGATAACATACAACCACACAAAGAACATTAGTATATATTAAAATAGGCAAAGATCAAGCAAACCTTGAGTCCCCGGGCCTTCCACTCCTCTGGACTGCTTGCAACTTGCATTGCTTGTGCAAGTGAATCATCTAGCTTCCTCACTTGGACAAGACACTTTCTCTTCCAATAGTCAAACATAGGCTTGGAAAGCTCCTCTATGTTCTCACAAATCCACAGCCTTTGCCTTGTTCGAGTGATAGCAACATATAGTTGCTTTAGTTCAGAACACAATATATTGTGTTTTGCATGACTGAAACTTGGTGACTTAGAAATAGTAGAATCAAGCAAATCTTGTTTCTTCATGAATTCATAGACAACTCTCCACTGATTTCTCAAAGGTGATGAGCCAAAAAAGTTGTACAGCAATACATCCTACAAATGATATTCCAAGAGAAGTCAGAAAAAAGGAAATGTAAGTTAAGAGCAAAAAGAAAAGTGCCTGTGCCTGAGCCTGAGCAAAGACATAATACATAAAGTATTTGACATGGAGAATTTAGCTTTCCCTAGTTTCTGTATTATGTCAAACCAACCAATCAATGGAATAAGCAGTTTCAAAGGATCCAGGGAAACAAATAATAGCAAGATGAATAATTAAAACCGGGTTGTCATTTGAGCTCTCTCTCTTGTTGTTACGTTACATACTTACGTTAGAAAGGTAGCATTAAAAATAAAACACAAATTAGGAAGAACAATAATTATGAAAGAAAAAAGTTTAATGCTTGTAGAATACGGGTGTAATTTGGGCAGGTTAATTAGAAAATTTCAGTGCTTGGATATAAGTTTTTAATATATAGGTTGGGCTTGGAAAAAAAATCACAATGCGAATCAAATTCGGGTAGTACTCGGGTTGGAATATCGGGTTCTCCATTCTTGGGACTCAACCCGAAATTGGACCAAATTGATGACATTGGGTGAACCCAAATTCAATCCGAAATTTTAAACAAAAATATAAGAGATTAGAGCATTTTGTCTCCTTCTCTCTTTGCATTTCTCTCAGTAGTTTCTCCTTCTCCATTGCAATCTGATACTTGGCCTCTTCTCTCTTGTCATCCATGGCGCACTTATGCTTCGTTAAGGTCGACATACCCGTATCATATATCGTATCAGAGACGAGTCAGATATTCAAGGATATAGATCTGATAATTAATAAAATATGTGGATACTTTGTAGATACTTCTATACATGGAGCAAGATATAATTTTTAATTTTAATCTACCCACTTTTTTTGAGTTCACAAACAATACAATACATTAATAAAATTTCATTTGATTTTGAATACGAGTGTTTTTTAAATATCATCTACTATCACATGTCAAAAGAGTATAAAAAATGAATTAGTTACACTAGAAGCAAATACTTGTAAACAAACCAACTAGTTAAATATTGACTCTGATTCCTTTAATTAGTCATGCTTACTTTATGGATATATTATAATGAAACGATATTACGCCTCTTTCAAGGTAAAAATTGCTAATTTTGCTTACTATTTTAAATAATTACTAAAAATTATAAATTTTAAGTATTTAAATAATAGTAAAATATAAAATATATTTTATTATACTTGAGATAAATGTAAGTGAAAGGGATACTCAAACTAAGAGTAGAGTCCCGTATATATAGTCAAATAATAATACAAAGTGACCAAAACATCCTTGTAGTCTAGGCAAAATATAAAATTATAGTAAGGGTAAAAAAGAAAAAAAAAACAATAATAAACTAGACTATACTTCAACACTCCCCTTCAAACTAGGCGCAAAAATATCAATTAAGCCAAGCTTGACAATAGAGTCCCGAAGAATGGATAGAGTGATAGATTTGGTGAAAACATCTGCAATTTGATTACTGGTCCCCACAAACAATGGAGTGACAATACCACATCGAACCTTTTCCCGAAGAAAGTGAATATCGATCTCTATATGCTTTGTCCTCTCGTGTAATGCAGAGTCAGAAGCGAGCTGAATATCGATCTCACCAAGAATCGATCGTAGCTAGATAATCTCACATGTGTCAAGTGCCAGTGCCCGATACTCTGCCTCTCCCTCTACTGACGAACGAGAGACAACGGTCTGCTTCTTGTTCTTTCAAAAGATAAGATGAATCCCTCGAAAAGCACAGAAGCCCGTAGTAGATCGACCGTCACATGCTCCCTCATAATATGAATCTGAATAACAAGCTAGAGGACCAGTCTGAGATCCTGATGCATAGAACAACTCAAGTCCCGGACAAGACTTGAGGTACCGAAGAATATGATAAGCTGCATCAAGATGAGGCTGACACGGTCTGTGCATGAACTGACTAACTCGACTGATAGCGAATGAAATGTCTGACCTAGTGTTGGCTAGGTAGATAAGTCTACCTACCAACCTCTGATAGACAGTCGGATCTCTCAACTCCTCACCTTCAGCAGTAAGCTTCAGGTTTAGAATCATGGATGATGATGCCGGTTTGTACCCAAACATCCCAGTGTCTGAGAGAAGATCCAGAATATACTTTCTCTGAGACAGAACAATACCCCTGCTGTTACGGGCAACCTCAATCCCAAGAAAGTATCGCAAAACTCTAAGATCCTTCACATCGAAGGCCTTCCCAAAGTCTACCTTGACCTGCATAGTCCCAGAAATATCATCTCCAGTAATAATAATCATCAACATATACCAGAAAGATGATACATTGTCCAGAAGTATTCCGTCGAATGAAGCAGGTATGATCAAAATGACATCTGGTGAACCTTAAAGGTACAACTACATCACTAAAGTGAGAGAACCAGGCTCGTGGTGACTGTTTCAGTCCATAGAGAGACTTACGTAGTCGACATACCTTTCCAGCGTACTCCCCCTCACCACGAAAGCCCGATGGTGCATCCATATAAATAATCTCATCCAGATCACCGTGAAAAAATGCATTCTTCACATCCAACTGATGAAGAGTCCAAGAGTACTCTGCAGCCAGAGAAATAATCAATCGAACAATAGTCAATTTTGCCACAGGGACAAAGTTAGCACCAAAATCACGACCTGATACATGAGTAAAGCCCTTCGCCATAAGCTTGATCTTGTGATGATCAATAGTACCATCCATAAGAAACTTCAGGGTGTAAACCCAGCGACAGCCAACAGGCTTCACCCCTGAAGGTAAAGAGACAGGATCCCACTTATGATTACGCTGAAGAGCGTTCATCTCCGTCTGCATGGCAAGAACCCACTGGGGCTCCCGCATAGCCTCTGAAATAGAGCGAGGAACCGGCGTATCTGATAAGACCATACTATAAGCTCGAAATATAGGAGAAAGATCACCATAAAAAACATAAGCAGAGATCGGATATAAAGTCCTTGTAGTCCAACCATAACGGACAACTGGACAGCGATCACGCTGCGGATAACAACGCCCTAAATCATCATCCTCCACTGACAATGTCTCATAAGAGAAAATAACTGGCTCAGTCCCTACAATCTCATCAATACTAACAACAGGTGCATCAATATGCTCAACAAACTGAAAAGTATTATCTGCATCGCTTGAGATAGAGGGGACATCAGTAGGGGGATGTTAGCGAAGACGACGAATATAAACCTGTAAAGGAAGAGAGACTGGTGACTCCGTACTGATAGGGACAAGTGGCTCTAGTGGAGGAGAGACTGATGACTCTGTAGTGATAGTGACCAATGACTCTGGTTCCTGTGGTAACGGAAAATCAAAGGGAGTATCATCGACTAGAGGGGCAGACACAGGAATAGAAGAAAAATAAGGAATGTGCTCAAGAAAGGTAACATCTAGACTATGATACATACGACGCCTGACAGGATCATAACACCGATATCCCTTAGACTGATGACAATAGCCTATAAAGACACAAGGAATCGTTTTATCATTAAGCTTATGACGAGTAGGAGACCGATTTTGAACAAAATATGTGCAGCCAAAAACATGAGAGGGACCGAAAAAAGTGTCCGCTCAGGGAATAAGACCTGTAAGGGAACCCTATGCTGAAGAACATGACTAGGTGTATGATTACACAGAAAGGTAGAAGTTAAAACAGCAAAATGCCAATAAAATTTTGGTACCCCCATACCTCTAAGCATACAACGTACCATCCCTGTTAGACTCCTATTTTTCCTTTCAGCAATTCTATTTTGCTCAAGAGTATATGGACAAGTGAGCTGCTGAAGGATACCCTGAGAAGAAAAGTGAGACACTAAGGAATCAGACACATATTCTTTGGCATTATCCGAACGAAGAGCACGAACAATGACATCGAATTGTGTCTTAATCATCTAAAGAAACTGAGTGATGATAGAGAGAGTACATCAGATTTCCTATGCAAAAAGTAGACTCAAGTACAATGGGTATGATCATCTATAAATTTCACATAGTATTGAGCACCTGACAAAGCAGTAACAGGAGAGGGTCCCCAAATATCAGAGTGTATTAGGTCAAATGGTTTGGGTGATTGGTGCATGCGAGGAATATAACTGGTCCGAACATGTTTCGATAGGGAACATATAACACAGTTAAGTTTACCACCAACACAAGTATTGCTCAAAGCCAGAAATAACATACATAAATATTTAAAATTTGTATGCCCAAAACGGTCATGCCATAACTGAACAGTTTGTGATGAAAAATCATAACAACAAGTACTAGGCAAAATACTAGCATTCAAGTTAGGAACAGATAAAGACAAAGTAGGTGTAGATAATGGAGGAGGAGGAACTGGTGAAATTGGAGGTGGATCGCTTAGATAATACAATCCATCTCTCTCATGTCCACTGATAATGATCCTCTTGGTACTCAGGTCCTACAAATAACACGAATCAAATAAAAATACAATTGCACAGTAAAAATCTCTGGCTAACTGATGTACGGATAATAGATTCATTGCCAATTTTGGCGCATGAAAAATCGAATGTAATGTAAAGTCATCTGGGAGACGGACTGTACCCCTACTAATAATAGGGGCATGTGTCCCATTTGCTAGCTAAACTTGTATATGTAACTGCTCGTCAAAAGTGGTGAAGTGATGGGTCTCACCTGTCATATGACCATTCGCACCCGAGTCCAACATCTAAAGGAAAGACGGACTGGTGCAAGCATGAAAAACATGATATATACCTGTAGTGATGGCAGTGGTAGTAGCAGTAGTCGGACTCTAAGAAGTCAGGACAGATATAAGTATATCTAATCGAGAAATGATAGCATCCATATCACTCTGCCAAGGAGGAACAACAGCAGGAATTGTGACAATAGGTGGTGGTACAATAGTAGCAGTACGGTTACGAGGAGGCAGCTTAAGCTCCAGATAGAGCTTCCAGCAAGTAGCCCTAACATGACCTGGTCGGCCACAATAATCACACTGACGAGAATCCTCATGTCTACGCTGATGTGGGGTCCCCTGACGACACTGGGCCGAGTGTTGTCGACCCCTATACCCGGTAGAAGTACTAACAGATGTCTTAACGGTAGGGGTCTCAACTCCCTCAGTAGTAGTCATATCATCAACAATACTAAGGCACCCGTGATAGAAAAATAACTCTAAAATAAATAGAGGAACAAAATAAGGGAGAACAATATACCTCCAGTTAAATTGTAGCGACAGATAAAGAAGGTCCAGAAAGCTCCCAAATAATCAGGTCACGGTGCCCAGAAATCTAATAAATATAAATGATCTACTGCATCAAGAGCAGATCAATAGAAAAGAAAATCCTAGATGTTGCAACCCAAGAAAACAAAGACAGTGGCGCGCAGAGATAGCGACACTACGACGAAGAGCGGGAAGTACGAAGGCGGGACAACTGGGTAGGGTTCGTCATTGGGTTATGGATAGTGGGTTGGTGGGTTTATTGGGTATTGTTTGCTGGTTTGGTTAGCAGTGGGCTGGGTTGGATTTAATATGTATGGGTTTAATATGTTGGTGGGCAGTAGGTTGGGTTCGATTTAGTAGTCGGTTTACTGACTTGGAGTTGGGTTTGTTCTTGGTTTGGTTTGTCCTAGATGGCAGTGTGTGGGCAGTCGGTTTCTGCTACTGAAGGTGGTCGGTGATTTGCGGTGAGAAATTGGGTTTGTTCCGGGCAGTCGGTGGGCATACTGACTTGGGCAATCAGTCGGTTTATGTTCTGTGTAGTCAGTGAGTTTGTGTTGTTATTGTTTTGTTTTGGGCAGATTATATTGGGTTTGGTTTTGTATTGGGTTTTAGGGATGCTATTTGTTTGGAGCAGTAGACTGTTTTGGCAGTCGGTGCTTTATGGATTGAGGGAGGCAGTCGGTGCTTGCTTACTGGGTGGCTTTGGTTTGGTGGGCTGATATAGTGGTTTGATTTGATGAGGTTTGATGGTGGGCAGTATGTTCGGTGCTTGGGTATTGATGTTCTCGGTGGAAAGAGGCAGTTGGTGCTTGGGTACTAGGTGAGTATGTTGGGTGCTTGGGTATTTTCTTGGTGAGGAAGAGGCAGTGGATTGGTTTTCTAATTTCTGGTTTTGTTGCCGGCATTGGGCCGGTGATGGTGGCAGTAGGGAAGGTGATAAAGGCTAGGGCTAAGGCTAGGGTTAAGGTTAAGGTTAGGGTTAGGGTTAGGGTTAGGGTTAGGGTTAGGATTAGGACTAGAGATGGAGGTTAGACTTTGATACCAACTTGAGATAAATTTAAGTGAAAATGATACTCAAACTAAGAGTAGAGTCCCGTATATATAGTCAAATAATAATACAAAGTGACCAAAATATCCTTGTGGTCTAGACAAAATATAAAATCATAATAAGGGTAAAAAAAGAAAAAGAAACCATAATAAACTAGACTATACTCCAACAATTATAAACATATTCTCGTCGTAATCATATCCTATTTTTTCAGATTTTGTCATATCGTCGTATCTGTATCTTATCGTAACTTGATGTCATATTTGTATCCGTGCTTCCTAGCCCATCATCCCCCCTCTCCCTCTCTCTCCCACACATGCACACATTAGCATCGGTGCACCCTCCTCTCATTCTCTACAAATCTTCACGAAGCTACAGTCCTTCTCCTCTTGTTTTTCATAGGGGTAGATGATGTTGCAAAAAAAAAGATTTAAGCCTATCAGTTTTAAAGGTGGTATTGCAGATTCATGAACAGTGATTTTCCCAACAAAAGGAACAAAGAAAGTGACATAGTGAGGATGGCTTGAAGCAATGCTGGACGGATGTGGAAGGTTTCAGTAAGTTCTGCGTTCATAGCATCACCCATTGCAAGTGAGTTTTCATACATTATTTGATTCTGTTCTTTCTGATAATTGTATATTTTGCTAAGGCATTATGATGATTTGGAATTGGAACATAAATAATAATCTAAAGGCTAGGACTTGATTTGGTTTTGATTAATGTGAAGTCTATAGGAAGAAGTTAGAACCCCAATATCACCCAAGTTCAAAAATAAAATTGGATTGACCTTGTGGTGAAGTGGCTCGGGTTGGGTTTGGGTACAGGTTAAGCCTGAGTTAACCACTCAACCCAGACAGCCTACCCGAGTTGCACCCCTACTATGGAGTCATCCTCTTCCTACTTCTTAGAAATGGGAAAACTAGTGATACGAGAGGTCAGATACTCGACATAATTATGCTTCTCCACCAAATTACACACAAAGCATAAAAAAGGATAATGGCATAACTAAAACCAGAAAATGAAGTGTGAACAAGAGACACTCTGGCAGTTACTCTTATAAAAACAAGTGATAAGTAAATACAAATAAAAGAATAAGAATAAACTTACTAATTGAGATAAGCACCAAAAAAAAAAACTATCGGTCACCTGAAACTCGAGGCCCTTGCACTCCATTATAGTCAAAACAAGAGCTTGCTTTCCAATATAATCAGATATTTCCATCCTGGCAGAGTCATCGCGTACTAATATGACCTGCTCAGCACCAAAGCCAACAATCTTCCCATCAACATTTCCACTGTTTCCAAAAATAGTTACAATTGCATTTTCTTCATTGCCAGGTTCAAGTAAAACTGGAGCTTCACCATATATAAGACTAGTCTCGGGTTTCAAAATATCAATAGAATTTCGAAAAAAATGGCAAAGAAGATCAATAACACTCTGTGCTAATTTAAGCACACCAGCATGGGTTCGGAAGTTCTGCCTCAGATTAAAAATTTCTGATATCAGTCCTTTTTCTTTTCTTCCAGTAGATTCATCACTTACTGATTGCAATATAAAATCATTATAGAACAGAGACCGTATATCCTCGAACCTAAAATCAATCCCTTGTGCAATCGTCTGTGCTGTATCACCAGAAAAAACAAAGCCCTCATCAATATTTCTGCAGATATATTTGAAAAGCGCAATTTGTTTTATCGTAAGGTCTTGCACTTCGTCAATATATACAAAATCCATTTTGTCACCCTCCAATTTTTCATTTTTCAGCCTATGATGAAGGTCAATTACTAGATCAGCTAAATCAAAATCACCATGTTCAGTCTTCATTTTTTCATAATCTCGAAAAATATTATATATGCTTTCCCTCTTCTGCACGCTCAAAGTGGACACTCGACCCTCAGACAATGAAACATACTCNGGGCAGTAGGTTGGGTTCGATTTAGTAGTCGGTTTACTGACTTGGAGTTGGGTTTGTTCTTGGTTTGGTTTGTCCTAGATGGCAGTGTGTGGGCAGTCGGTTTCTGCTACTGAAGGTGGTCGGTGATTTGCGGTGAGAAATTGGGTTTGTTCCGGGCAGTCGGTGGGCATACTGACTTGGGCAATCAGTCGGTTTATGTTCTGTGTAGTCAGTGAGTTTGTGTTGTTATTGTTTTGTTTTGGGCAGATTATATTGGGTTTGGTTTTGTATTGGGTTTTAGGGATGCTATTTGTTTGGAGCAGTAGACTGTTTTGGCAGTCGGTGCTTTATGGATTGAGGGAGGCAGTCGGTGCTTGCTTACTGGGTGGCTTTGGTTTGGTGGGCTGATATAGTGGTTTGATTTGATGAGGTTTGATGGTGGGCAGTATGTTCGGTGCTTGGGTATTGATGTTCTCGGTGGAAAGAGGCAGTTGGTGCTTGGGTACTAGGTGAGTATGTTGGGTGCTTGGGTATTTTCTTGGTGAGGAAGAGGCAGTGGATTGGTTTTCTAATTTCTGGTTTTGTTGCCGGCATTGGGCCGGTGATGGTGGCAGTAGGGAAGGTGATAAAGGCTAGGGCTAAGGCTAGGGTTAAGGTTAAGGTTAGGGTTAGGGTTAGGGTTAGGGTTAGGGTTAGGATTAGGACTAGAGATGGAGGTTAGACTTTGATACCAACTTGAGATAAATTTAAGTGAAAATGATACTCAAACTAAGAGTAGAGTCCCGTATATATAGTCAAATAATAATACAAAGTGACCAAAATATCCTTGTGGTCTAGACAAAATATAAAATCATAATAAGGGTAAAAAAAGAAAAAGAAACCATAATAAACTAGACTATACTCCAACAATTATAAACATATTCTCGTCGTAATCATATCCTATTTTTTCAGATTTTGTCATATCGTCGTATCTGTATCTTATCGTAACTTGATGTCATATTTGTATCCGTGCTTCCTAGCCCATCATCCCCCCTCTCCCTCTCTCTCCCACACATGCACACATTAGCATCGGTGCACCCTCCTCTCATTCTCTACAAATCTTCACGAAGCTACAGTCCTTCTCCTCTTGTTTTTCATAGGGGTAGATGATGTTGCAAAAAAAAAGATTTAAGCCTATCAGTTTTAAAGGTGGTATTGCAGATTCATGAACAGTGATTTTCCCAACAAAAGGAACAAAGAAAGTGACATAGTGAGGATGGCTTGAAGCAATGCTGGACGGATGTGGAAGGTTTCAGTAAGTTCTGCGTTCATAGCATCACCCATTGCAAGTGAGTTTTCATACATTATTTGATTCTGTTCTTTCTGATAATTGTATATTTTGCTAAGGCATTATGATGATTTGGAATTGGAACATAAATAATAATCTAAAGGCTAGGACTTGATTTGGTTTTGATTAATGTGAAGTCTATAGGAAGAAGTTAGAACCCCAATATCACCCAAGTTCAAAAATAAAATTGGATTGACCTTGTGGTGAAGTGGCTCGGGTTGGGTTTGGGTACAGGTTAAGCCTGAGTTAACCACTCAACCCAGACAGCCTACCCGAGTTGCACCCCTACTATGGAGTCATCCTCTTCCTACTTCTTAGAAATGGGAAAACTAGTGATACGAGAGGTCAGATACTCGACATAATTATGCTTCTCCACCAAATTACACACAAAGCATAAAAAAGGATAATGGCATAACTAAAACCAGAAAATGAAGTGTGAACAAGAGACACTCTGGCAGTTACTCTTATAAAAACAAGTGATAAGTAAATACAAATAAAAGAATAAGAATAAACTTACTAATTGAGATAAGCACCAAAAAAAAAAACTATCGGTCACCTGAAACTCGAGGCCCTTGCACTCCATTATAGTCAAAACAAGAGCTTGCTTTCCAATATAATCAGATATTTCCATCCTGGCAGAGTCATCGCGTACTAATATGACCTGCTCAGCACCAAAGCCAACAATCTTCCCATCAACATTTCCACTGTTTCCAAAAATAGTTACAATTGCATTTTCTTCATTGCCAGGTTCAAGTAAAACTGGAGCTTCACCATATATAAGACTAGTCTCGGGTTTCAAAATATCAATAGAATTTCGAAAAAAATGGCAAAGAAGATCAATAACACTCTGTGCTAATTTAAGCACACCAGCATGGGTTCGGAAGTTCTGCCTCAGATTAAAAATTTCTGATATCAGTCCTTTTTCTTTTCTTCCAGTAGATTCATCACTTACTGATTGCAATATAAAATCATTATAGAACAGAGACCGTATATCCTCGAACCTAAAATCAATCCCTTGTGCAATCGTCTGTGCTGTATCACCAGAAAAAACAAAGCCCTCATCAATATTTCTGCAGATATATTTGAAAAGCGCAATTTGTTTTATCGTAAGGTCTTGCACTTCGTCAATATATACAAAATCCATTTTGTCACCCTCCAATTTTTCATTTTTCAGCCTATGATGAAGGTCAATTACTAGATCAGCTAAATCAAAATCACCATGTTCAGTCTTCATTTTTTCATAATCTCGAAAAATATTATATATGCTTTCCCTCTTCTGCACGCTCAAAGTGGACACTCGACCCTCAGACAATGAAACATACTCTGCGCGACTGAGTTTATGATCAAGGGCCTCCCCTGCTCGCACGCCTCCTTTTATATGGGAAGTTATCTGAGTAAACACTTGCGACGGATCAAGCTCCTTTGTCAGCAGGGTGTTGAAATGGGGCCAATAAAGTGAACAAAACCTGTTATAGTTAACCTCCTTCATTCTTATAAATGTTTGCAATGCAACCGATCTTGAACTTCTACTTTTATCACAAGAATTATCCCATAAAACTTGGAATCGATCAAAGTACGAATTACCCAATGTTCCATCCAGCATCATTATCAACTTATGAAAAGTAATGACGAGGGGGTACTTTTTGGCAGGAATGTCAACAAGAGAATCAGGGACATCTTTAAATTGTGACACATCGTCAATATCGATCAAACTGATTTCTGATGAATAACTCCCACCACGAGCAAAGCTGTGGATATAACCAGGCTTATTGTTAGAAAAATAAAAAATAAAGGTAAAATCCTGCAGCAGATGTAAATTCTGTATATGTATATATACTTATACATACACAAGCAAGCAAGCTAATTTACAAGACAACTATCTGACTTTTGATAAAAACCATGTGTTACGAAGATTTTTATTTGGATGACTAGAAGTTAATAGTCAATGGAAAACAACCAGTAATTGCTAAGGAATAGACTTATATTTCATCACCAGATTCCAAAGTTCAGCAGAGACGGGAACATATTAGTTACATAACTAGTTGTAACACCACAAATAATTGACTGATCTTACAACAATCCTTAGTTAAACTGGTTGCACCTTTTTCAAATAGAACTTCCGTTACTTGCTAATTGACAAGACAATGTGTTTAGCTGGTACACCAATGACAGCCTCTTTCCCATTCAGTTGCTATTGATTATTATTAGAGCAATGCTGCACATGATAAATAACCCATTCTTTCAAGAGTCAGCTTTTTAGGACATAATATATAATAACAGGTCATATAACCGTAAATACTAGGCAAGTGCTAGGTAGATTTGTAAAATCCATGCTCAGGGAACGAAGCTTAAAATATAGTGTATTTCCTCTCAAATTGTAGCAAATTTCAGATAAACCTATAGCAAACTGTGTCCAAAACAAGGCCATGAACTTTCCTCCGGATTAATAATTATAATTACTGGTAAAATTCCTCAAGCCTAATTCAACTTTGGAGGAAGGAGAAAAAAACAGAAAATAATTTTGAGTGGGTCTAGTGATGACCAAACCGTGGAGCCTCCCCATTTTGAGATTAACTGGATACCTAGCCGCTTCCATTCTTGAATAAAAAAAATTGATGAAACATAATAGTTATAAAGATCACTATTGTTACCACCAACATACTGGTGATCTTCAGTCTTATTATTTTGCTCTCAGAACAGTAATTCAACATCAAGTATATGTATGCTTAGCTGTACTTTGAATTTTCACATTATTCTTAACAGAAGTACCAAAATGGTTTCTCATCAATAATGGAACCAGTAAAGGACATCAAGCTAATGATTGCAACAACCAAATCAGTCGACTAGAGTAATTTGAGTAAGTAAACTTTATACAGACGACTACAAGACAACCAAAACTGAAAAAAAAAAAATTATATGAATCTAAAGTACCCAAATCACCAAGAATCATCAAACCTCAAGAAAAGTGAAGCCCACCATTTATTCTGAAGGTATGGATGTAATCTCAAAGAATCCAAAATCCAATTTAAGTTGAATGATGAACTAAAAGGATTTTGTTCTAACGTGGTTGGTGTAAGAGAAATCATTTTCCTAGAATACATACCAAGTAGTCTTCTCTGCAGTTATCTAGACATCTAATAGAAGCTTCTGCTTTTATTTCAAGTCATTTACATGCAATATTCAAAAAAGACCATAACTCAGCATTGGTAACGGAACACGTACTACCAATATAGCAAAATTTTCACAAATTCATATTTAGTTAGCTTGTGCTTGGCAGCCCAAATGTCACTCCAATTTCCACCACATCAAACTTCGAGATTAGCTGGCTATGTAATTAATAATATTTCAACAGCATCTATAGTGTAGAGTCTACAATCTCAGTAAAATGCAGCACCTGAAATTATCCAGTTAGACCTAAGAGTATCTTATAACAGTGAATATGACGACAACCTAACTATTTTGGGTTAGCTCCATGGATCATGTTCCTCCATTTTGCTCTATAAAATACCATTTTTATGTAAATACCCAATCTACCATATCCTTTTTCATTATCTCATTCAATGTAAATTTTGGCCTAGCTCTACCCTTTGCGACACAATTTATAGGTATCGGGTCACTTTTCCCCACTACAGTGCATATGATCACTCAAGCATAAATTACCTAATCACACAAATTTGCAAAAACCAAAATAAGTAGTTGACCAAACAATATTATGCAATCCCAACAGCAATGCTAACAAGCCAACAAATTAGAACAGGTTCCAACAACGGCACAGTTGAGTACTTAGCACACCTTGTCAGCTGGTTAACATGCTGTTTGACAGCGTGGCACAGTTTTGGACTCACGGTCACGAAAAGCTGCCGCAAGTTAGTCTCCCGAATGCACTTGTTGACCTGCTTTGTCTGGCTCAAATGTGTAGCCGCACTGTTCTTACCTGCATGAAATCCCTCAGAGGCAATATAATGCTGTTGTTCCTTTTGGAATAATTTCATGGTCAAAACAGTAGTTTTCCCAGTTCCTGACCGACCAATTATAAAGGAGCTTCTACAGAATTGAATTATCTCCCGCTCCTCATCTGTTACTTCAAACGGGGGATCAAGTTCTTGGCCATCAAGGTCAGAAAGCAAGTGGTTCACAAAACCGGATGATAAGGAGTAGAACTTCATCAGCAACAAGCTTTCACTCACCTTTGAATTTTCAACATAGCTTCTACCATCTATGGCACCAGTACTTGAGTCATTGCCAAGTTCATTTTTACTCAGATCCTTAAACCGTACAATGTCATAAGAGGTCACCCAACTCATTGGAACTTCCAAATCCCTACGAACATCCAAACAAGCCGCATAAGGACTAAATTTTTGGGTTGAATTATATTGTCAATAATGTTACATAGGTTAAATACGCAGCAATTAGAATCCAGCATTTATCATCATTAGTTCAGATTTAATAGGGTACAAAAGAAACAACTAACCCCTCTAGAGATTTCTTCTTGCAGCGTCTGATAAAATCATCAGTGTACATAGCAAATATGCTATCAAGACGTCTCACCAGGTTTGGGATCTCCTCCAACAGCAATATATCCCAAACCTTTAAAACTTGTATGAACTTAGAGTCCTTCACAATGTCAATTGTGCAAACAATATAAAGTCGTTCAACCTTGAATTGTTTCATGATCTGTGAAGAGCTTCCACAAACTGAGTCCACGTTCCTCTTAGGTCGCCAGCCGCTAGATAGCTTAATTAGAAGGTTCACGACTGACTTCTTCTGGCGAGAAGACTTAAGCTTCTTAAATGATTTTCTGAAGTTATCACTGAAAAGAACCTGGGGACACCCCATGGGTAAATAATTTTACAAACAAGACTAAGTTCACACTCCAAAGTAAAGACAAAGGTTAATATAAATGTTCATAATATAGCTTTGAGCAACTAAATGCTATGTACCTTCCACCTTGCACTATAGAAAAGCATACTGTCCCCATTTAGCAAATCATCAAGTTGATCGAGCTCTTTCTTCACATCTAATATAGTTTTGGAAATATTATCATCTTCATCAGCATTGAAGAAACATTGACGGACCTTAGCATCACATACTAACACTTCCCAAATTGATTCACTCTTAATTAGTGTCTTTTCATCTCCCAGAACCCAGAGACAGTGCCTAGAAACAATTATAAGGCCAAAAATGACAGTCACCTTCAACATAGAAAGATTAGAAAACAATCTTATGAGAGAATTGTTTTCACTACATACCTGGCTCTTGTCAAAGCAACGTTAGTTCTTTGAGGACTAGATATGAAACCAATAGATCCACCCCTATTAGACCTCACAGTTGATATTATTATAATATCTTCCTCTCCACCTTGAAATCCGTCAACAGACTTAACTTTCAACACAAATCCATCATAGTTCTCATACTTCTGCCCAAGCTTATCTTGGATCGCCATAACTTGAGCAGCGTAGGGTGATATTACACCAATGCTAATCTTCTTTTTCGAGGCATTCCATGCTGTGCATTAATAAAACAAATCAAATATGCAAACATGCTTCACTACTCTTATGTATTACAATTTGTATATAGTAGTACTAAGTATACCACTCATGGGTAAGCTAACCTTTTCGATCTTATTGTGATACCTATATGCATTAGTTGTGATTGAGGGAAGGGTTAACAATTCTCTCCCTCCCCTCACACAATTCTTCCATTCATCCTTATTTCTAATAATTAACCCTAAACTTAACAACTTCTATTAGAGATATGTGCGAAAAAAATTCCATTAAAATACTGGAGCAAGTAATATACCAACTAAAAAAAAAAAGTAAATTATACAAGACACATTCTTCCAATATCCTTTTCCTTTCCTTTTCTCCACCACATTAATTCTTGAAAAAAAAAAATAGAGTGAATGGAAACAAATGAATCATTTAGCTTAAGCTCATAATGTGAGCTAAAAGATAATATTAATCTCGACCATAGTTGTCAAATCGTGTATTATTTTTCAAAAATAGTGTATCGTATCGTATGTCATATAACGTAAGATACGTACAATTTTAAATAATTATTAATAAAATAGATATATACTTTTGTAAAAAAGTCATAGACTCATAATAACATAGCATTTCATTAATATTCCACAAACTATTTAAGTTTCCAATATAGTTTAGTAATATCAAAATGTAAAGACATCTAATTCAAACTTGTAATATTAACTACTTGAATAACCTTAATATTAATTAAAACTTTTGAATTCAATTGAACAACATTAACAGTAAATTTTATTTTTTCTTTAAACCATAACTACTGAAACGATGTTATTTTACAGGCTAGTAATTTAAAAATAAGTCTTGGAGTGGAACGATATCATTTCAGCCCTAAAAAACCAAAAAAAAAAATTCAAAATTTTTTTTTTTCACATATCGGACGATACGTATCTATCTTATCGTACGATACAGTGCAAAAATGATACAGAAATGCAATACATATCGTTTTTTAGGTGTATCATGACGTATTTTATGATACATATCAGTGTTTTGAAAACTCGCCTAGGCGAGAAGCGAGGCGAGGCGAGGCGAGCTTATCTAGCCTGGAGGACCCCAGGCGAAGCGAACGTGAACGAAGCGAGAAAAAAACGAAAAAATGAAAAAGCGAAGAAGCGAAAAAAGCGAAAAAGCGAACGCTTTATTATAAAAAGCGATTCTGCTTCACTTTTTTTTTTTTTTTGATTACAGGTTAGTAGTCTCTTTTATTTTTTAATCATTAATGACTTTTTTTTTAGACTATTGCTGGTCTATTTTTTTTTTTTTTTTTCTAATAAACAATGTTTCGAACAAAACACATTCCTTTTTTTTCCTTGTGTTGCTGAATTCATTTAGAATATTTGTGGGATGTGGGAGTCAGGCGACTGCACTGCATGACAATTATGATAAAAAAAGAAAGCAGGAGCATCAGAAATGGGGGTAAATAATAGATTCTTCTACAAAGAAGTGTCTCTGATATGTATTGGTTATACTTTTTCCTTTTCTTATATATATACAAATGGTACCAAAAAGTGGTCTATGCTTATACCATGTTTAATTATTTTAGTACATGTGAAATGTGCCTCTGTTCTGCTTTTTTTTATTCAGTATATAATTACATATGAAATTGTTTACAATTGATTCTGCTCCTGTCATGATCATTGTGCTTCTGTTTTTTTTTTTTAGCTCATTCTGCTTCTATTTTTTTTGTTGATTCTGTTGCTGCTTCGGTTTTGTTGTCCTGTGTTGCTTTTGTTTTTTTTTATCCTCTTTCTGCTTCTTTTTTTTTTGTTGCTAATTCTGCTGTTGTCCTGATTCTGCTTCTTTTGTTGTCCTATCCTGTCAATATGAAAATGTATACAATTGTTAGTATTTGTTTGAATTTAAATGTTTAAGTTATGACTGTTATTAAGATTTGAGATATTATTAGTGTTTTTTTTAATTTAAATGTTTATGTTTTTACTTGCATTTAAATATTTAGTATATATAAAATTAGAACTTAGATTGTTTAGAAGTAATTAAACTAAAATATATATTTTTTTTAACTGTTCGCTTTGTTTCGGTAAAACGTGTCGCTTCGCTTCTCGCTTCTCGCCTAGGTGTTAGGAGCCTTGGTCACTTCGGTTCGCTTTACGCCTTAAATAACACTGATACATATCACAACAATTCTTGTACCTTTGTCCCTAAATACTAATAATGTCAAAATTTACAAATTAGCAGAATCAAAATGCTGAAATCCACAAAATCATGAGACAAACACTAGAAACCAATTTGTAATAAAAAATAACAATCAGACCCACTTGACATACCTTTATATAGACTCTGCACTATCTTCACCACAATAGCTACCTCAACCATATTTCTGTGACTATGTTCAACATCATCCAATTCTTCTCTACCACCAACAACATTTATAAATGAATAGGGACCAAACATTGGCCCTGGAAGATAATGCCTTTCATGGCGTTTGCTCTTAACATTTGGTGCATCCAAGATCTTGTTGTGATAAAAATTTGAATTTGGAAAGATACTAATAGACGGATGCATTCTGTATTGCATATTAAGAAGGTACTTTGAATGACCCAATGAACTTAATCTTTCAAATAAGCTTCTCCCAAATCCAGCTTCATCAGAAACCTATTAATATGTACGAATATATTTTAATATGCCAACAATGCATTGGAAATCAGAGGCACAAAATCTCAATAAAGGTCGTAGTGAGATGATTAAGTGGCATTGCGCTTACCTTGCTAGTAACTATTGCTGGTAATTGACACTCATCCCCAACGAGAATAGCATGGCTTATACCTTGGAGTTGAAGGGGTATGATGGATTCACACTCTTTCAACTGTGCAGCTTCATCAATGACTAACAAGCTGAGTGGATTCATATCCATTAAGTGCAAGTTATATGAACTAGAAGCAGTGCAGAAAATTAAGGAAGCTTTTTGAAAACAAAATGCCTTCATTGAACCTCTGTCCATCACACTTGGAAGGCCAAGCTCTTCAAGAGAACGTCGAAGAGTTTTTAGAGCAGAGAGGCACAAGCTTCTCATGCATGACTGGGATGATGTATCCACAACTGACTCACAAGAATCTTCAACTACTTGCTGGTGCGAAAATAGCCCCTCCAGTTCTTCTGAAACCACATTCTCTTCAAACAGTTTTTCAAATGAATCAAGTAATCGAATAAGATCCACCATGAGTTGGAAATTCTGTTCTTTAATGAAGCTTCTAGGCAAATGAATACAGAATATATATAGACATGTCCTGAGGGATGATGCAATAGGTTTGAACCGGTCTCTTGCAAACTCAAGAAATGATCTAACTTCCACCTTTATTACTTCATCTTCATGACTGTGTTCTTTTGCTCTGATCAATTCATTTTCCACAAAAATACGGTACTGACAAACACAATCTTCAAGAAAATCAATCATGGAAGATAAACAATGCCTCCAACCAATCCGCGGGCTTATACACTCTACAAGCCTTTCAACACGATAATCTGCATAGATCTCTTCAATGTCTGAACTAACTTTCAGCCGATCTTTATTCCCCAATAAAATTACATCTCCTAAAGAGCAAAATAAATCACCTTTTTCAGATTCAGTTTCAAGTGACCCTCTCACCAGTTTTACCACCCGAGAGGCCACTTCCCTTATTGCCACATCGGTTGGGGCACAGATAAGTGTCCTGTACTTCATTTTTAAGAGTGTAACAAGCATCACACTTAAGAGTTTTGTCTTCCCTGTTCCTGGGGGCCCCCATATAAGTTCCACAGAAGGCTTGTGGTTACACTCCAGTCCACGAAGACAAGCCAAGATTGCCTCAGTTTGAGATTCATTTAGTATGGACATATTTGTGCCAACTCTTTCAGCCATTTTAATGTCGCTAAGTACTGAACAAAGATTGCAATTTTCTTCAACCTATTTTCCGAAAAAAGAAAAAACATTATTACCTAGTAAATATTTATCATCGAGTTCAGTTTTGATATGCCGTCTACATAATAAACCCAGAAAAAAAAGGGAAAATGGGTGAAACGCTTAGCACATGCTCATTACAAAATTAACTGAATTGTTAGGTAAGATCATATGAAAATTAGAACAGAAAAGAGAAACATGGAATTTAAATAAGCATTTGAAATGAAGAGAAGATCCAAGTATGCATAGCCATGGTCACAAAGTACAAATGAAGAGAGAACCAATAACAACTATCTTCCAATGAAAGGCACCGCCGTAATATCAATCCTCTAGCATTAGGAATTAAAAAGGATTTAGAATTTCGTTTAATTTGCTAGTTGTTTTAATCTATGAAATATAACATCATTGTATCCAACCTATAATTGATCAGTCACATTACTTACCGCTGAACGAGTGCACAGAACTTCCTCAATAATCTTCATATTTCTGAACATGTGCAATGAATTCCACATTCTTTTGTTAGCCGTTTCATTTATCAAAAAAATCATGAACAGAGACTTCTGCATCCTATCTTTGACGTCAATTTCTTTTAATGTTTTGACTTTAAAACTGGTCCATGTACCACTTTCTTCATTCTCGTCTTCTGAAAGATTAGTGACTAGTGCAAAATTCCATGTCCAACCTGCTCGGTGAAAATCAGATACAGTCTCAGGATATGCATCCGAAAAGATAAGGATATCCCCTGGCAATATTCTGTAAGGCTCTCCATCATGATCACTAAATCTGTTTTTCCACTGATCAATTTTAACATCATATTGTAATGTCCCATATGGTTTGGCCACGTCAAGAGAGATCACTTCTCCAAAAGGTGCCTTGTGTATAACCTCCATACTGGCCGCTAGTTCTGTTCGTGTTTCTTCCAGTAAAAGATAAAAAAATGAACCAAAATATTGTTGCACTGATTGAAAGGATTTTGGAATTTTCTCCACCTAAAAACAATGCCACAGTATTTGAATCCATAAGATATTATAACTAAATTCCTCAGCAGTACAAAGAAGTAAACATTATATCTTGTCATAAGAAGACTTACAAAAAAAAGACAGTTCAATTGAGTAAACAGTAATGAAGCACAATGAAGTTTTTTAATAATTGGTCACAACTGATGCCACATAAAGATATATGAGGCGAGTACAACTTTAAGCTAGTATCCTAGTCAATGAAGCGAGCTATGCAAGTTAAAAGCTACTTCTAAATCAAGTGAGGAGCAAGACAGATTGCAATCGCTAATGCAGAAAAGACAACAAGCTAGATCTTATTACAGCTAGATGCAACGATTAAAATTTCAATTCAGTAAGCACAGGACCAAAAAAGTTTTAGAAATGTTTCAGAAACATTTCGGAAGCAAAATAGAAACAAAGAAAAAATGTGTATGAATCCATTTAACTCCCCACCTACAGATGTCATGCTAGCATGTAACCAATAGTGAAACAATGGCTTTGGCTTTCAGCCTTCAACTTAATATTGGAAAGTCAAATTAAGTTGATGTCCAGAACTTCGAAAAATCCCATATTTTGAAAACTCTGCAACCACTACCCAACAGGTAGTTTGATACCAAAACTAGTAAGCGAGTATTTCTTATACTTGTCCTATATTAATATCTTGGCATTTGCCATTTTAATTGTTTCCAGTAATTTACTTCAATATTCCAAGTTTAATAATTGATCAAATTTTTTGAGTGTTTTGTTTTTCATTCAGATCTTGTGCTAATATAAATATCATAATAAATTTAATTACGATAGACACCCAAATTATTTTATTCTACATTTTTACCAGGCTAGTCCAAGGTCATAAAAACATAAATCTTCAATAATTTTGCATATTACCAGCTTTATGTTGCTCTTGATTTAGCAATCATTTTGCTAAAAAAAGGATTTCAATTTAGTTATCTAACTAAATCCCCTCCATGGATGTATAACACATGATTTTCCAAGGTTTCATATTAGGCTATGGGGAAAGTTCTCCACATGAAACTAGTGAAAACCATCCATATTTATAAGTATAACACATGATTTTTCCAAGTGTTTCATATTAGGCTATTAGGAAAGTCCTCCGCATGCTACTAGTGAAAGCCATCCATATTTCCCGTCAAATTATTACTACATATTTAAATACATAAATTACCGAGTATGTAACGAAACATTTCAACAAACAAAACTTCAACATATTCATCTATACATACTGCAATTGAATGGTTGCCATATGGAGCTCTATATTCAAGCATAAAATATTTCTTTGCAAGACCATTACTTTAGCATGAGATATATGTTCGAAACCATAACAAAGACATTATCATAATAACTCCACATCCCTTGTGACATCTATTATTTCACAACACGGGACAAAAGAACATTTAGTTTTTTACAAAAAAAAAAAGGTGATAAAATCAAGTTGATAAAGAGAAAAAACTACAAAATCAATGTGCTTTACTTGCATGTTCAACAGAAAAATCAAAAACAATTTTGGAGAATAAAAAATTCATCAAAATGGGGGGCACCGACATGAATGCAACACTAAAATGCTGACATGGCAAAATCCTTACAAATTTTGGACACACATCCTTAAAAAAATTTAACACACATGTTGGGAAAACACGACAACAAAAAGTAAATTTTTTATTTATATTTAAAATTAAAGATGTGATGACTGGTAAGCCCAAAGGACGGTCCCCATCCCTGTCAGGTATATATGCCTACCATTTTTCTCTTTCTACTCGCACTAAAAACTATGATATACACTGCAATATTGCATTAAGATAAGCATTCCACGGTAAAACATGAGATTTTTACCTTATGAATTATAACAATGAAAAATCACTCATCTTGTGTAAAGAAAGACAAAAAAAGAATATAACTCATTTCGTGTACCAATCTCATTTGACAACATGGTGATGCATTTTAATTACACCATATAAACTTCAAATTGGATTTCTTCAAATTGGATATACTCTACATCCATGTACAACAAATTCATACTCAACATCCAAGATTCATTAAGAATCGTTGGCCATATATCTGAAATAAGAATTTTATTTACATAATTACAAACACTTCATGCTCAAATGGATTTGGAACCCTCTTCAAATGTCCAAGAGATCAACTCGATTTATCTTCATTTAAATGATGTACATTGGAAGAAAATGTAAAATATTGTCCATTGTAACAATTGAATATCATGTGAATTTCTAAGATTTGATGTAGAGCAAGAGTAAATCAATGGGCCTTTGGTCCAATGATATTCCTTGTCTTTTGAAGGTTTTGTTTTCTTGAGGTCAAGGGTTCAAGTCCCCATCCCCCTCCTCCCCCCAAAAAAAAGGAGTAAATGATTTCTATTTTTTATATTTTATTTTTTAATTTTATTATTTTTAATCGGATGAGATTTTAATTAGAAACATTCTAGATTGATTTCATGCCTAAACCATGTTAATTTTTCTAATTCCATTAGACACGTGTTTTATTATTTTTGTTAGCTTTCTTAAAATTAGAGATTGACGTCCGTTATGAAACCCGTAGGGGTCATTTGGTTGCAGTATTAAGGGGTGAATTAAGTAGTCATACAAATTAAAACTCTCTAATCCAACCTTATATTACGTTTGGTTATAAAAAATACTCCATATTATATCTAGACTAATTTCGTATACGTATAAAATATGTATACAAATAATACGCTCTACTTGTACTATTGAATCAATTTTAATACCACTTGAAGAGGTGGTATTATAATACAGTGCAACCATATTAGGTTATATTTTACTATTTTGCCCACCTAATAAACAAAAACATGAATAACAAAGGGCGTGTTTAGAATGCATCTCAAAAAATAATTTTTTGGAAGAGTTTTAAAAAAGTATGTTTGATATTTTTATATTGCAAAACCTGTTTGGTTATATATGTTTTTGAAAATAGTTTTAAAGAATAGAAAATAGTAAAACTTGTTTGGACAATGATCTACAAATCTCCCTACCCCAATTTTCATCTCAAGTCCAATCTTTCTACCTTTCGCTTCTCTTTGTCTCTCTCCACCCACACACTCACATAGCAAACACACACACATGCACTCACACAACAAACCCACACCTATTGCAAACACCAACACACTCACACATTGCACAATACACACACACACACACACACACACATTTATACATACAAATCTGAACACAAATCTATACATATATGTAGATTTGCTGGATTCAGGACAAAGAAGCCTCCAACATGTGATATAGTCTGCTAAATTGAGTTGCGAGACAGATGGGTTTAAATGCCTTCGACAAAGCTCGAAGTCTAGACCTCATTAAAAAGTAGTGTGGTGTTTCTCGCGTTTTCATTTTTGGCTTGAAAACACAGAGAACATCATTTAGATGTTTCTTAAAAATGATTCCCATTGAGGTCATTAGCCAAACAGGTTTTTATTTTTTTATTTTTCGTTGTTTTTCAGAACATAAAACTGTTTTAAAAAATATAACCAAACAGGGCCTAAATTAAATAGATGATTTTTTTGATCAGTATATAATTATTACTCTATTATCTCACTCTTAATCCAGTGTCTTATCAAACACTCATGAGTATTATTATTATTCCATATTTAATCTTACATTTTATCTACTTATACAAATTAGCTCGTATTAGTTAATACAATTCTTTCTTTTACAATACGGTAACTAAATTAGCCATATGAGTTCTATTCGATCAAGTCAATCATACAATATTTTAAGTGTTTTTCTTTCCTTTCTTTGTGGATTCAGAGTATGTGTGTGTGTTTTTACACTTAGAAAAAGTGATTTTTTTGTGTCTTCAGTGTACCAATGCATCAATTGGTATCAAATCCTTGATTGATCTGACAAGATTTTTAATCAAAGATGTGGGGTGACAACTTCTCCTATGACAGTGATCATGGGGAAGGGTTCTTTTGAGAGCCAAATTCTTGAATTTTAAACAATAACGACAACAACAATTTTAGCAGATACAACAATTTTTACAAGAATGGCGGATTATGGTTTCTTGATGGACATCGTGTTCAAACTAGGGTCTGGATCAACATAAGGTACAAAACAGTGATAAGATTCATGTTCAACCCCTTCGAGATTGTAATCCTGTATATCCTATGAGACAAAATGTTCATGGTATGTCTTTTTAGGTGGCAACTATTGTAGGTTCTAATAATATTGAAAAATAGGAAGTGAATTGATCTATTAAGCAACAAAGTGAGTTCGAAACGAAACAATCAACTCAAGGTCAAAATAAAAAGATATTGAGAATGGTGATGAAAATGAAAGAATATATGTGATGAAGGGAAACCTCTCAAAGGATATTTAGTTGAGAAAGTTAAGGTGGTTCATATTTTTAGGAACAAAGCGGCACTGGCTAAAAAATTCAAGGAGTAATGAATTTGACGACGTTATCGATGGCGATAACAAAGTATTGGAAGAGACCGTTGTCGAATATGGGATCAATGATGATAACATCAATTGTAAGGAAATTGAGGTCAAAGAAATTAACGGGAATGAAGTTAAAGTAGATGGTGGTACTAAGATGAGGTCCACATTAGCACAAGGAATGAATAAAAATGAAGATGAGGCTAAGTTGGAAAGGAAAGGATGTTAACTCAGCACAAAGGTGTACTTTGCTTATTTGGATGAATCACGTTCTTCAAGGGATATTGGCAACAACCTCTCCATTGGCAAATATTTGAGAATGAAAAACTCTTTTATAATTGTTACAATGGAGAAATCAAGTTCATGTTTTGAAGTCATTACTTGACTTTATGACATCGAACATAGTGAAGCCATTGGCATTGAGGATTATGCAACAAAAATCCAATTTGTGAAAATAGA